CTGACCCGCCCACTGCTCCCCTCAGCAGTGTACTTCATCAATCTGCCTGTTCTGCTCCCCACTCTGTCTCTGGTGAATCCTCTCACCCCTGCACCTCTGACCTCTACCCCAGTTCTTCTATGCATAAATACATCTTTAAAAAAAAGTCTTTAGGGCCCTCCCTGGTGGCGCAGCAGGTTAAAGCAGAGCACTAAGAATAGAAAGCCACTCCCACATGAGTTCGATCCCCGCCTGCCTTGGGAGGTGACCCACATGGTGTGGTAGACCTCTCCTGACATGCCCGCTGCTCCCCTCAGCAGTGTACTTTGTCCATCTGCCTGTTCTTCTCCCCACTGTCTCTGGTGAATCCTCTCACCACCCCTGCACCTCCGACCTGTACCCCAGTTCTGTGTGCATAAATAAATAAATCTTTTAAAAAAAATTGAAATATGTTTTTTAAAAAAGGAAAAGCAGAGAGCAACACAGAGCTTCCCAGGTCTGCTGCCTTGTCCCTGCACACCTAGAGCTGCTTCCTGACCTGCCGGCTCCGTCAGCATGAGCGCTCGCCCACAGAGCATTGGGCCTGGTCATTATGAGCCATTCCCAAAACTGTGGCATGAGTGTCTGTCTCTGCTGAAGTCAGGACTCTCGCTCCTGCCCAGGCCAGGGGCCACCACTGGGCGCTCTCTTGATGGGAGCGTGAGCCCAAGGAAATGAGAAAATTCAGGCACGGGAGTGACCTGTTGGTGCCTGCTCTTTTTAGCCCCGTAAGGCTGGCAAAAGATTGGGACTCTTGAGCCTCCCTGATGGAGGAGTCTTTGATCATAGTGAGTCATGGACTGAGGTCGGGAGCAGGTGAGAAGGCCCAGTGGTGAGTTCGGTCATGCTGCTGTAAGGGTTCCCAAATCTTAGTGGGTACGGGGCTGGAGTCTAAGTCTCGTCCACGCAACATGTCAAGGGCGTGTCAGCAGGAGGTTCTGCTCGTTGTCTGCTCAGGGACGTGGCTGCTGATTGCCCCATCTTGACATAAACTTGCACCACCCCTGCAGCAATGAAGGGGAGAGTGGGGTGCATAGCTTCTCGGTTCCCAAAGTTTCCCCAGGAAGGACACGTGCTTCCTTGATCAAAGCAACTCCCACAACTCCTCTCTTTAGGGGTGGTGGGGACGGGAAGCCCTAGCAAGCAGAGCCAGCACTGATGACAAGACAGTCACAGACAGGGCCTCTGAGACTTCGCCTTATTCCCTTATGTTTATGCTAACTGCCTGCTCTGAAAGTTACTTAAGTTTGCTGACTCTTGACCAGGAGAACTTGAAGGATTCTGTGCCCGATTCTATGATAATGCAATTAACAACTGAGTTAGAAGCCCCCAGGTATCACACAAGAGTCTTGTTCCTTGTGACCTGCCCACTGTACTACCTGTCCCCTGTTGGGCTGCTGGCTGCTCCCTGCCTCTGGACTGCCCGTCACCTCGGTTGCCCAGACCTTCTCCTTACCTGGACCACTCCTGTGCCAGTCACTGTCCCCTTCACACACCCTGGTCTTTGCTGATTACAGGAGGCAGGCTTTTCATGTCTAGCACCGCTACTGATCCCTTCGCTGGGCCTACCCCTGTTCCTCACCACCCCAACATGGACAGACCCTTCGGAGTCCATTCATCTGATTAAGCCGGACCATGCTTCTGTGGCCTAGGATGTTTGTATTCTAGTTTATATTAAGCCACATCTGAGTAAGTCATGCATTCACTCTCCCCATCCCAACTCTAGGAGATATATCTAAAATTTACATAGTTCACTTTAGTTCTTTCCCCTCTACTAGAGCCTGAGTGAATACATTTTTTTTAAAGATTTGTTTATTTGTGCATACAGAGTTGGGGTACAGGCCACAGGTGCAGTGAGAGGATTCACCAGAGACAGAATGGGGAGCAGAACAGGCAGATCGACGAAGTACACTGCTGAGGGGAGCAGCGGGCGGGTCAGGAGAGGTCTGCTGCGCCATGTGGTCACCTCCAGGCCAGCGGGGATCAAACTCATGCAGAAGTGGTTTTAGCTTCTCAGTGCTGTGCTTTAACCTGCTGCGCCACCAGGGAGGGCCCCCCGAGTGACTAAGTTTAAGAATATTTTTTGTCCCTATTTCTGTCCAGTCTGAGGCCCACCCAAGGTGGTTTAAAGAGTGGAGTTGGCGGGAGCCCAGTGGATTATGGTGGAGGACGATGGGTGTTTTGGTGGTGGGAGTTCTCCGGAAATCCTACACTGTCGAAACAGTAGCCAGGATGTGAAACTATGACAATTGACTGAAAAAAATGGCCATGAGGGACATCTCAGAGCCAGAGGGTGTCGGGATCAGGTGGGCTGGGGGGACGTCTGCTAAGGGCGGGACACTCAGAGTGTCCCGTCTAAGTCCAAAGGCAAGGGGGATGGGAACACGGCTAGCTAGCCACAGAGCGCCCCACCCAGGGGCGTTAGGAGTCGCCCGAGGGGCATGCGCAGGACACAGACGAGGCAGCAGAGAGTGCCCGGGCCACTTTCCCGCCTCCCACCCTACAGGCGCTTCTCGTCCAGTGTCAGAGCACCGGCTTGAGAACCCGAGAGCCAGATGCTGAACATCTGTCCACTGTGGTTCTGAGCAAGAACGATGAGCCAGGAACACTGATACGGGGCTTCTTGGCTGGAGGAATTTGATAGCAGCTTCTGAGAGGACTCAGGCGCTTTGTTCTGACTTCTGTGACAGCGGCGTGGAAGAAAGACGGGAGGCAGAAAGGCTGAGCAGGCAGAGTTTATTGCTCCCAGCAGCAGCTGAGACGGAGCCCCTAGGGCGGGTCCGCAGCTACTGCCAGTGCTATAGGGGACAAGGGTCTCATATATAGATTCTAGGTTCAGATTGTAAACGGGCGACTCATCGACTCATCGCTGTGACCCCACGCTAGGCCCAGTTAATTATCACCCTTGGATGCGAGGCCCGGTTTATTATCGCCCTTATCTAGTCCCACCGGTAGTTGTGTTATCGCAGCACCTGGTCACCCCCAACAGCAGGGCTGGAGTCCCCCCGGGCCCTTTCACCTGGCCCCACAGGGAAAGACACCTCAGTGCTGCTTTGACGCCAGATGTGAGCCAGGTGAGGGCCAGCACCTTGAGCCCTGCTGGAGGGGTCCAGACAGACTTTGCTCAGTACAGAGGCCCATCTGCTGGTAGTCTGGAGTATGGTGGAGTGAACTCATCTGCTCCCCGGCCCCCGAGCAGGCCAGCAAGGATGGCCTCGCAGGCAGCAAACCCAAGAGGAACACTTGTGGGCAAACAGGGGCCACCTCTGGAGTCCTGCAGCTGCTGGAGGTGGGGGCTTGTGCAAGGTAAAATGTGGGGGTGTGGGCTGGGGTGGGGGGAGGCCCCTCGCTGGGGGCTGTGTTCTGTAACGCTGAGGTGTCCCATCTGGTATCATTCGCTTCCCTGAGGAAACGAGGATCCTCCTCCCCACCCACAGGGACAGCTCAGCCTCTCAGGGGTCCTTCTGCATTTTGTGGCTTTTGGGTGGGGGGGTCGTAGGAGAGATTTCTGTCTAAAGGATCAAAGCATGGCACTTGCACCCGACAATGCCAGATCTGGGGGGCTGCCCTGCTAGAGCCAGGAATTCCCCAGGGCTCTGCTTGTCCACTCGAATTTTTGTGGGGTACATCACAGAACAGGAATCCTCATGCTGTCTGCACCTGAGCAGTGGGCAGAACACCTGGTCTTGAGGGAGGCCTGGGGAGGGGTCTTTAGTTCCACCCCTCGGACAGTCATTCTTATCTCTCAGTTCTCTCCAACCACATCTTTCTCCTCCATTTTTTTTTTTTTTGGTTCTCCCCACATCTTTCTCCTCCATTTTTTTTTTTTTGGTTCTCCTTAACCAACGAGAACACAAAAGTGCCACGTGTTCTTTGAAGCCGCCCTGGGCAGTGTGGGTCCAAAGAAACCCGCCAGCATACTCGGCCAGCCTTTCCCCTCTGGGCCAGAGAAGAGTGAAGAGTCATGTCTTGAGCATCCCATCCCACCCAGGGAAGATACTAGAGGCACCCACTACTCACTCTATTTGACACCTTGCCCTGTGCCCAGGTTTCCAACTCACTTTGGTCAAGCTCGAGGTGGGGCAATTATCCCAGAAGCCACGACCTCAGCCTCATCTGGGAGCCCTCGTGGTCTGCAGCCCTTGATTCTTTTTATAACAGTT